AATACTGTATATTGTTTTCCTGTGAACCCATTTTCTTTTTTTTTGAAAAGCAGAGTCCGTGAATCCATTTTCTCACTCCAAGTTCTCTACTTTTTCCACTATGCTTAAATGTTTCCAAACTTTCTTATTATCCTACGTGATATTTGGGTGTTTATAGGAAATGCTGCATAATCACCAATAAATGAGTGGACACAGTGGCCTATTGTACCAACTAAAATCCTACCTTCTACATGAAGCCTTTCCCTATCTCTCCTAACTCATGTCTTCTTTCTGTTAATTATTTCCAATTTATCCTGTGTATAGCTTGTGTATACTTGTCTGTTTTTGTTTCCATTAGATTGTGAGCTAGAGAACAGAGACTATCATTGGCCTTTCTTTGTATCTTTGTATTTGTAGGTCTTAGCCCTGTGCCTGGCATATAGTAGGGGCCTAATAAGACTGTCTATTGTTACTCAGGGTGTAACTATATGGGAATGGGAGATAATAGATTAAGAACCTTGCCTGAGGTCCTGGAGTTAATTAATGGCAAAATTCTACCAGACTTAGAATAGGGGTTTGTTTGGTTTTTTTGCCTTTTCCTTTTATCTCTTAATTTTTATCCAAGTTAATTTTTTTCCTTTCAGAAAGATTATAGACTGTGTTCATCTCTTTATTATCTTGAAGATTTCTTTCTGCTTAAGAATTCCCTTATCCTAAGGGGAAGCTGCAAGTGGAAGTCTACTAGTATTTATCTTCCTAATCTTATGTAGCCAAGCATTCAAAGTCGCACAGTTAAAGCACTGTAATCCTTAGACATAAATTGCATCTTTTTTTTTTGCTAGAAAAAAATTTTTTTTTCTAGAAGTACTGATCAAATGAAGCGTGTATGTGAAGTAAGTAGAAAAGAAAAGTTGACTACCTTTGTCCCAAGCCTCCTTCCTTGATCATACCACAAAAGCAACTCTAAGCTTCTATCAGATATCAGTAAACTTTCAGAGACAGAGGAGTGTCCCCATTTAAGAGACTACAAACTGTCTTACTTAAGCTGATTTTATCCTTTCACTGCTTCTGTGTCTATAAGGTTTTACAAATGGTTTTATATTCTAAATCATTGTTGCCTTTGTCTGGCATACTCCTTTTGGCAAAAAAGCCAGGTGTTTGCTGATAAGGTCCTTCTTAGGCAGGTATGGGAAGCTATAGGAGAAAGTTATTCTCTAATATCACTTCATTTCGTAGCCACTTTTGCACCTTCATTCATTAATTCATCTCACATCTACTGACACATACTCCTTAGTATGGTCCTATGCTAGAGGCTGCTGCTAAGAGATGAAAAGTAATTCATGAAAAACTAAATGGAATTTGCATTGCCTTCAACATTCAAGGATTTGCAATGAAACCATATTACCCTATTAAAAATAATCACACCACCACCACTCACCTGAGAAACAAGAGACATCACATCAGTTTCCTTCTTCTAAAATGAAGGGATTGAACAGGTTGACCTTTAAAGACCCTCAGAGATCTATGTCCCCTACAATCTATTGTTACAGGTTACTTAATTCAGTTGTTTAAACAAAATAAAACAAAAAACCTTTTTCTTCAAGGTTCTGCCTCAGAATTGCCTACTGTTTTCACTGCTTTCAAGCAGTGGGTGTTTTATGAGTTCCTTCCTTAGGGAAACCATTCTGCTATTGAAGTATTTCCCAACATTTTCCAGACTACCTTCCCCTCTAATTCTGTATCCAATAATATTCACCTTACTTATCCAATAAGACTCACCATTTCCAAGCACATAAGGTTCAATGTTATATATCAGAGAATGGTATTTGATAAATAAGGTACTACATATGGATTATCAATTTTCAAAGTATTAGAATATTTGGAATATAGTAAAATACACCAGAACTTTACAGAAAGTAAATCCTTGAAGATTCAGAAGGCTCTTTTAGCATCTCATGTGAAGTTAGAGATCATACTTCTAAACATGAAATTATAACTATACCACAAATATTCAGAAATGCCAGCTAAAAGCAGTAGTTAAGAGTGCTAGAAAAATAGATGTTTACTATGCATACAGACACAGATCGTTTCCCTGCCTCTTTCCAGCACAATTATCACCAACCACATCCTTTAACAACCCTGGCAAAAACTAGCAAAATGAAGGAATATTGCAACATAGAAATGACAACTTAGAAACAGACCAAAGTATTATAATTAGGCAGAGAAGCTGGGATGCAATATATTGCCTTGGGTTTCTAGGACATTGCAGTACCCTGGTTTTTCTCCTCCCATTGCCCTAAGTATATCTTTATCTTCTCTTTAGCCTCTTCTTCCATTCAGTCCCTAATGATTGGCTCCTCTACCTGCCCTTCTCTACCCTTTTTACTCTAATGAACCAATCCTTTGGCATCGCCTCCATGATAACGATTCTTAAATACTATGTTAGTGACTGAGCTCCAGTCCCAAATTTTCAGCTAACTACAGGGAATCACTCTGGATGTCCCACTGTTGCTACAAATTCAGTCGATCTCAAACCAGACTCAATTTAGTTTTATATTAAGTGGCTACTGTGTTCCAAGGCACTGTGCTAGATTCTGGAGATAACAAAGACAAAAATAGGATAGTCTCTACTCACAAGGAGCTTATATACATTAAGGAGGCAGTATAGAATAATGTGCACAGATTATCTATCTGTCTAATACAAGGCAGAGCATGTAGCAGGTAGAGGAGAGATCAAAGTTCTAAGAATATCTGTGGAGGGAGAGACCATTGCTATGTGGAGGCTGAAAGAGGGCATCACAGAGGAGGTGGTATCCCACCCCACTCCTCACTCTGGCCAACCTCTCCCAACTTCCCTATTATTGGCAGTGGTGCTTCCATTTTCTCAGTTAACTATGTTTAGAAGATGAGATTCATCTTTCATACCTGCCATATCTCTTACATCCAGTTACTAGGTTCTGTCATCTCTTCCTTTGAAATGCTTTACATCCCTCCTTTCCTTTTTATTCTCTTTATTCTTACAATCCTAAACCAAGTGTCATCAATATATTTTCAACACATACTTTGAGGTGCTTCTGTTGTCTCTGGGCAATTTCCCTTCAATGCATCCTACATACATCCACCAAGTGCATCTTCATAAAACCATTATTTCATCATGTCATTCTCCATGCTGAAGAACTTCTAATAGTGCCTCATAGCTGACAGGGCAAACCTGGCCCTCTACTATTGGAGAGGCAGCCATGGTGCAGAGGAATGTATGATGGATTTGAAGTCGGAGGACTCTGGTTCAAAGCCCGACTCTGCCACGGATTCTGTGATCTTCAGCAAGAGATTTATTCTCTCTGAGCCTCTGTTTCTTCATTTAGGTGCTGTGGTGGATAGAGGGCTAGGTCTGAGGTTGGGAAGATCTGAGTTCAGAACCATATTAGCTGTGTGACCTTGGGTAAGTCACTTCACCTCTGTCTGCCCCAGTTTTCTCAACTATAAAATAAGAACAATAACAGCACCTGCCATGAAGGGTTGTGAGTTACAGATGAGGCATCTGTAGAGCACTTAGAACACAGTAGGTGCCATATAAATGCTTATTTTGTTCTCTTCCCCTCCCCCTGCTCAGGTCCCTTCCAGCTCTAAATTAATGGTCCCATTCAGCCTAACTTTCTCCTGCTTCACAATACAAACATCCTGTTCCCCATGTGGGTCTCTTCCCATTTTAGTCTTTTCTGTCATTCAGGTCTTTGCTCACACTATCTCCCTAAGCTGGAATGTCCTTCCCTTCCTCCCTTACCCATCCCTCGGGCTCCCTTGCATTCTCTATGCATTTATTTTTGGATGACCAGACCTGTGACTTCTTTAGTAGAGAGGGCCCTCAGGGAAGATTTGTAGCATCTTGGACAATGCCTGGGCACAGAGAAACTGAGTGACTGGCCCAGGGTCTCACAGCCAGTTACGCGGCAGAGGCAGGCCTGCAATCCAGCTCACCCTGGCTTTGAGGCCAGCTCTCCATTCATTACTCCACACTGCCCTCTACAAGTCCTGGGTGCTTAGTGTGTGCTGACATCCCACTTCCTCTGAGACCTTTTCCAATGGCTCTACGCTTGCACTGATCTGCCCCACCCCCTTCGACTATACTTGCTGCCTACCACCATTTCTCTAGCACAGTATGCTGAACACAGTAGGTGTTGTTGAATTAATGTCCAAATTAATAACACTAGTCTATACCTTCTCCACTGGGGGAATTGGGAAGAGGGGAGCTCAGGTCAAGAGGGTCCATGGGGAACCTGCTGCGTCTAAATGAAAGAGTTGGACTAGATTAGGGTGGGGAACCTGCAGCCTCAAGGCCACATGTGGCCCTCTAGGTCCTCAAGTGTGACCCCTTGACTGAATCCAAACTTCAGAGAACAAACTGGATTCAAAGGGCCACATTTGAGGACCTAGAGGGCCACATGTGGCCTTGAGGCCACAGGCTCCCCACCCCCGGACTAGATGATGTCAAGGTCTGTTCCAACTCTAAATCCTATGATCATATGCTTTACTGGGCTTACAAGATTAGGAGAGAGAAATATCTACTCATTTTATCTTTCCATTTAATGTTTATGACACATAAATTTTCAAAACAGGAACATCCTAATAAAAGTAGTAAAAAAAGATTTTCTAGGGCTTGACAACATAACTCTGAATAACTATTTTAATTTACAAAATATCATAAAAAAAGGTCCAAGTTATGAAGGAAATTTGCTCTTAGCTCTTCTTGTACAGATTTTTTGGGACACCATAGTAAAACTATACTACATATATTCCAAACACTATTGAAAATAGATGTTAAACTTTCTAAATGTTACCATTTTATTTGTGATAACTATGACGCTGAAGTTGGAGAGAAAGGAAAATTATTGTTCTTAAAATTGACCAAACTACAAAAACTTCCAAAACCAATCCAATAAGCATTTATTAAGAGTCTGGCTTATACACTATGTCCCTGGGATACAAAGACAAAATGAAAAACAGTCCTTGCCCTCAAGAAGCTTACATTCTACTTGGGGAATACAGCATGAAAACAGATAAAAAAATACATGATAATCTGAAGAGGAGGAGGAAGGCAGCACAAACAGTGGTACATGAGCTGAGACATGCAGGGACCTAAAGATTCTAAGACAGGAAGCTGAGGAGGGAGTATATATATGTCACAGCCATGATGGACATGTACAAAAGCAGAGATATAGGACATGCAGGGCTGAGGGGGGTGAGGAGAATCTGGCTGCAACACAGACTGTATAATGTTACCAGTTATAGTAATTACCAGGGACTATTCAGACTGGTGAGAGGGGCTAAATAGTAGTCATTATGTACCTTGTAAAATACAAAACTCATTTGTTTTTGACTTCTGAACAAGCTTAATAAAGTCTGAAGCAAAAAGGAATTTTCTATAAATAAATAACAAGATCATAGGTCCATCAAAAGATCAACACGTATCTTATGATTGTGTGTGTGTGTGTGTGTGTGTGTGTGTGTGTGTGAGTGAGAGAATTACAAAGAGACCAATGCTGGCCATTTTCATTGTCTAATATGAGGCACTTGGGAAAAAAAAACCAAACAACTTTTTGAAAGGCCTTGGTCCAGGATTTGCATCAGTGGAAGTAATTCCCACATAAAGAAATCTTATAACAACAAAGCATAGGTACTTGAAGCACTGATATATGGTCAGTGATATAGATATTAATATATAAGCATGTGCTCCAGAATTTAGCCCTAGGAAATATTGTCATCATTTTTTAGCCTTTAATTCTCAAGTAACTTCTTTACAACATAATAAAAAAATGCCATTGCTCTCTGAGGGAGCCCAGAGAGAAAAGAGTTATTACCTAAACTTTGGGTTTCTCCTGGCTTATGTATAGGTTCATATACAGGCCAAATATTTTAACTCTAAACAGCTAGAATGCAAGACCATTTAAAAATAAATTTCTGCAAATGTCTCTAGTGATACAGGCAAATGGTATATCATAAATGAAAACAAAATACAACAAAACTGATCAAATATCTAATAAAGTTTTGTAAATTTCCAAACTGTGCTAACATGGAACACGATTTGGTCATGAGAAATAAATCTTATTTCTCTCGTACAAATTTTATTATTTTACAATTTCAGGAAGTCAACAGTCAAAACCATCATTGCTTTCTTACTAGACTTTTAGAGTAGACTTTGATTTATTGCTGTTATATGATGGTGATTAGGACTCAAATTTCTCTAATTAGGTCACTTGTTTACTTGAGAAATACAACTAGAATTGAATGATAATTACTGAAAGGTAGTATATTTTATTTGATAAGAAGTATTATAAGGCTATTATGATACTATTTAAAAATAAAAACAAGTTTTAAAAAAGTAAATTAGATTTCTTGGACAGTTTATTCCACCTTTTAGATGAAGTAAAGAGTGTCATTGCCATGAGGAGAAAAATGTTGTGCACAGGAGAATAATACACTTCCTTTTCAATATAAATTGGCTTCCCTTTGGAGAAAAAATTCTGCTTTGGATGTGCTGTCTTTACTATCATAGGGTTCTGTCTGGCACAAAGTAAGTAGAGCAGGCATTTCTGGTAGCTGGATACCTGAAGAAGACTTCACCTCACAATAGTTAAGAGCATACCCTTCAACCAAGTCTTCCTTGGAGATCTGGTTTAAGCCTGAGTCACAGACGCTGGCTTTCTTCCACGAGTGTGTCTTCTTGAAGGTGGTGTGCAGGAATTCTTTCATCCTTTGGTTTTCTTTGGCAGTAGATTCCCAAACCACTTCAAGTTCACCTTCTACCTCTCTACAAGAAACAAAAACCAGAAAGTAAAGTTTTAAATAGCCTCTTCCCCACCTGGGTCCTTTGTGGAACAATCTGACAATAGAAACTTTTCCTTAGGAGCACTACTTTTTTAAATAAATTTTTATTGATGTCTTGTGTTTTTTACATCATCATAGTTTCCCCCAGTTTTCTTCTCTCCCCTCCAAAGCCATTCCATATAACAAATTGTATTTTTAAGACAAAAAAAGAAGAAATCAATATAACTAATCAGAATATTGAAAGCTCAAAACTATTTGTTTTCAGAATCACTTGTGGCCTTCCCACCTCTGCAAAAGGCAGAGTTGGGAGGGTCTTCTTATATCTCTTCTTTTGACCCATGCTTGTTCTTTAAAACTCTGCAATATTTACTTTTGAATGTGTGTGTGTGTGTGTGGGTACATGTATGTGCATGCACGTGTTTGTTCTTTCCATTTACATTAATGTACTCATTGTATATAATGTTTTCTTGGCTTAGTTTACTTCACTATATCAGTTTATATAGATCTTCCCATATTTCCCTGTATTAATCACATTCATCGTTTCTTACAGCACAGTATATGTATGTGTGTGTGTATATATATATATACACATACACACACAAATGTGTTTTATATACAAATATATGTATATGTTTCTATGTGTGTATATGTGTGTGTGTGTATATATGTGTATGTGTATATATATATGTATATGTATATATAAAAAGAGAGAGAGAGAGAGAGAATATCTTAAAAACTGAGGAAATTAAGGGAAAAGAGGTGATTAAGACAGCAAGTGGTTAATTGTGGAAACTGAGTGAACCACACTGACTCCATCTTGTGACTCAATTCTGGAGCTAGCTCAATTCCCTTTCTATTCAATTATAAGTCTAGCACAACTTCTGTCCTGTAAGAAAATTTTATTTGATTGTGAAAAGTGAGAGAAAACTTTGTTGCACTATTTGAACTTAGCTCTGCATGGCTGGGAAGCTGGACCACCTCTTCCTATTGTTTAGACGCCTTTAACCATGGATCTAAGTTATGCTCATCAGAAGCCTGGTCAGAGTCAGACTGATGAAAGGAGTTTTCTCACAATTGTGCGTCTCCAGCAACCCATCTGTTTTATAAGAAAACTGGCACTGTACTGATCAGCTATTGTTTCCATGTTCCTTTAATTGCTTACAGACACTTGGGGGGAACAGGACACCTCCTTTTCCAATTTCAGGGAAATGTACCTGTTTACTCTCTCCCTCCCAACCTGGAAAGTCCCTAATCTTTTATCTAATTAGAAATCAAATTATGTTGTTTCCTTTTAACTAACTGGCCTTATTGGATTAATAATTTTAACGTATAAAAGTCTGTCTTCCTCCTGTATTTGGTGTCCAGCCCCAAGCTGAGGAAAGGGTCCCAGTTTGTTAGGCAATTGGCATGCATTGCTTAATAAATCAACATACTCAGAGGATCAAACTTTTGTTTCTTCATTCTACCTTTCACCCTCAATCAAACCTATTCAAAAAAAATCTGATACAAAGATTTTTTTCCCCCCACTTGATCACCTCTCTTCTTATCCTAGGTCAGGGGTAGGGTACCTGTGGCCTTGAGGCCACGTGTGGCCTTCTAGGTCCTTGGGTGCGGCCTTTTGACTGAGTCTAAGTTTTATAGAACAAATTCTTTTATTAAGGGGATTTGTTCTGTAAAGTTTAGATTCAGTCAAAGGGCTGCACTTGAGGACCTAGAGGTAGCTAGAGGGCTACATGTGGCCTCAAGGCCACAGATTCCCCACCCCTGCACTGGAGCTTACAGAGTAGAGATGACACAATTGCATGTGTTTTAGGAAAACTACTTTAGTGGACAAAGGTCTCGAGCACGGAGAGACTTGAGGCCGGCAGACCCACCAGGAGGCTTCTGTTACACTCAGAGTGTGAGTTGGTGAGGGTGATGGTGTCAGAGGAGAGAAGGAGGTATATTCAAGAGATGTTACAAAATTGAAACTAACAGGCTTTGGGGGGTGAGAGATGATGAGGATTCCACGATGACTCCTAGCTTGGAAGCTGGCAATACACCAACAGTATAATGGGGAAGATTAAAAAGGAAAAGACAGTAGCACCAGATTCTTTTTCCTTGCCATAGAATTTCCATTTTCTTCCAGATCTCCTCTGTACATAACTTTTTGTAACTGGACCTGTGATTTCACTGGTCTAGGAAACTTTTAGTGATGACAGTCCTCCCAATACAAAGCAGCAATTGCTGTGCAGCTCAAAGTCTTAGAAAGTCTCCCGTGAGGCCGACCACAAGCACAGGAGACCTTTGGGTACCAAGGAGTTAAGGGAGCCACCCTGGATCAGAGAGCCAATACTTGAACACAGGCCTTCCTGAGTCTGAGGTAGCTCTCTATCCATTATGTCCTACACTGCCTGTCATGGGATGCATATCCCAATGGAAATACTGCAAGTAGTTGCCTAAAAAGTTTAGGGAAATGCAACTGTTCTTTGTTTCATCGCTGCTGGGGGAAAAAAAGCATCAAATGGACTGTCAAGAATTTAATCCACAAATTGACTGCTGAAAGCCTATGAGGTTTTTTCAAAGGCAAGTAACAAGGCTACTTTGATTTACTGATCCCACTTTATGTGGTGTTTAGAAAGTGCTCTAAAGAAATAGGATCTCAAGAATTTGCATAATGGTCTAGAGATTGGCAAGAGTCATCAGTCCTATATTATAAACAGAGAAGCTATTTCAAAGATTCTAACTCTGGCCCAAGACAAGCAAAAGATACCACTCCATACATACACTGCACCAGACATCACTTCCCCACATATGCAATTGCTTTCTCTAACACCAACCTCCTTACAATTTATCTTAGTTGAACTTTTTATACAAATGTGTTCAACCTTAGAAGAAACAGACTAAAACTGACCTGGCAAAAAGTTAGAATTAAGCTGTTTCAGCACATTAAAACTAGACATTCACTCTGGATCAATGTTTTGGCTCCAACTTAGTCATTCAGAATTAAAAACAAAAATAAAAAGCCCCACCTCAAATACCTCATTCTCATATGCTACATAACTGGAGAACATTCTCAGCAAGAAATTAACTTAATTTCCACACACAGACTTTTCAGCCAGGGAGAAGGGTTATAATTTGGGCACTGTGTACCTCAATAGCTGATAGTGCTTTTGTCTCTGATACTCCTGTTCAAATCTGGGGATTAAATAAAACTTTAAAGTTGTTAAAATATAGGCAAACTATCTTAGAGTCATTTATATCCTGAAAAGAAAGTAAGCAGTGATAATTGCATGCATTTGGGCATGAATTATGTAGCACAATATGCCATGACCTAGAAAAATCACAAAGAGGATAAGAAATTATCATTCTCTAGACATAAATTTGACTTGAAAGAATAAACAAATATCAGTTTTTACCTTACAGCTAGATTAACAATTTAAATGAACTGTTTTCAGTTAAAGAATTATTTCAATGTCTGAAGAATGTAGTGACTAGGCTCCCTGGACCTGGAGTCAAGACCACCCAAGTTTAAAAACTTTCTCAGACCCTTAGTAGTGTTATCCTGAGCAAGTCCTCTAGCTACTCTTAACCTCAGTTTCTTTATTTGTGAAACAGGGTTGATAACAGCTCCCGGCCTCAGAAGATTATTCTGAGGATCATACGTGATATATGTATAAACTCCTTGGCAAACCTTGAAACACTATATAAATGTGAACTATCATTATTATACTGCTGAATTTTGTTTAAAGACTATGTGCAAGAACATATTATATTTAAAATTAATCAGAGATCATAGAATTTCAGACCTGAAACATCACCATCTTGAAAGCCCTGAGAAGGGAAGTGAGTTCATTAAGGAAACAGATGATAGAAGAATATATACGTCTACAGAAAACAGAACATTTGGATTCCTGAGCCTGAACTGAAAGACAATGTTTTAAGTTTCAAAACAAGGTGATGCATACTTAACCACGATTTCCAAATGCAGGCCATCTGGGTTGTAAATGTTGGAAAATAATGGTATAGAATATATATGTTAGCTAAGGGCAGTGATTTTTTTCTGTGGCCCTGTGATATGTGGTTCTTCAAAATCTCAACTTTTCAAGGTCTTCCTTGTCACATAATTTTAACTTACAAACTGGCTTTACTATGGGTTAGCACAATTACATTTTGTAAATCTTAGGTAACATAGGAAGATTTTGTTTTCATTTGTGCACCATATATTCTGAGTGGTTCGCTTGGAAAGGCATACAAACAGCAAACAGAGACCTGAAAAGGTCAGGGAAAATGCACATTTGTAAATGAATAACATGGGCAAAGAAAAAACATTGCTCCTTTTAAAATGAATGCATAGAATTACTGCAATGGTTTTGTTAATATATGCAAACATTTTTTCAATAATCGATAGCTAATGAAGCATATATTCACATTCTGAGGAATTATTACTGCTCTTTTATTCACTTTATGCTTTTGACAAAGTTGTTTTTTTAAAAAATGACTATGTTAAAAGCTTTTCAAATGTGCTCTTTCTTTTTCCTGGGAAAAAAGAACATTGGGTGCCTTCTCCTCAAAACTTCCCATCAAGTGACCAGATTTCTGCCTCTCTTTTTAGTTTTCAACATTCACTTCCATAAGATTTTGAGTTTTAAATTTTCTCCCCCTCCCTTTCCTATTCCCTCCCCAAGATGGCACACAATCTGATATAGGCTCTACTTATATGTTCATATTAAGCATATTTTCACATTAGTCATGTTGTAAAGAAGAATTAGAACGAATAGGAAGAATCATGAGGAAGAAGAAACAAAGCAAAAACAAAAAAAAAGAGAGATCAAATAGTATGCTTCGATCTGCACTCAGACTCCATAGTTCTTTCTCTGGGTATAGATAGCATTTTCCATCATGAGTCTTTTGCCGAGAAGAGTTAAGTCTATCAAAGTTAGTCATCACACACTGTGACTGTTACTGTGTACAATGTTCTCCTGGTTCTACTCACTTCACTCA